CTGCTGCCACCATATGTTGCATATCTATTTTCATCATGATTTTTTGTAGGTAAGTTATGCAAAAAGCAACCTGTCATTTTCCATGACTCATTTGCCTGTAAAATTGGAATAAAAGCACAAACTATAGAATAGCCATTTTTATCTGTGACAAGTTACATGTGTCAAAAGAAAATAATGACACTAATTTCTGGGTATGACAGTGGCAGCCATATCAATAAATCATTAATACAAGAATATTTTGGAACAAAAATTCAGATTATAAAATGACTATTACAAGGAGAACATGAACAATACAATTTTCCAACTGCAAAATTCATGCATAAAATCTCTATTCAAGAAACGGTTGTTAGAAACACTAGGTTTTCCAAAGCAGCTTTCTTTTCTGTGACTTGGAGACCCAGACCGTCACAAAAATTAGTTTATATATTTTATTACTCTTTCATCTTGTTTCCTGTTGAGTGACTTCATTAATGAAAAATTCCATTTTAAATTTCTTTAACAATGTATTAATTACAATGGCCACAACTGATGCAGATATTTCTGTCATCTGCTGTACTTGTAAATTATTGCACCACAATTTGAGAACTACTAACATGGCACAAAAGTAAAATTCCTTATTGTTACTGTTCAAGGAGGAAAGGCAATATTTTTTCTAATCAAATTTGTTTACTTTGAGGTAGTGCTGCAAAGCCTGAATATTAGCTAGGCAATTTGCTTGTATCTGGGCACTATGCAAATGGATTTCCTGATCATAGGTGAGTTATGTAAAACCTAATGCAGAAGGAAATGTGAGGACCAAGTAAGCAGTATTTGTTCACTGCACGTAACTAATCAACTTCAAGAAACTGCCAGTGGATCACATTTGTTTAGAATATTTGATGATAAAACAATCTGCTACGTGTTCCTCTGAAAATTACATTTTTTTAATTATACTATTAAAAAAAGCAATGTCAATCCCTTAAGGCAGCATGAAAATGGGACATTGATGATATTCAATGCAAGGTTCACAGTCTGTTTCTTGAATAAAATCACAGTTTATTAAGACCACAGAAGTGATGTATACCACAGGTAATCTTGTAATGTTTGTTCTTGTTAAAGGCATGCTGTGAAGAGGTGACATTTCACACAGTGGGATGCGGACCAATGGTGGAGTTTCTGAACACTGTAATCTTTGGATTCCATAAAAGGTAGGAAATTTATTGATCAGTCAAGCAACTATCAGCTTCCCGAGGACTCTGCCCATGGAGTTACAAATTTCTCACAAAAGAATACATATGACAATTAGTGATATCTGTATTGTTTTATGTTTAAAACCGAATTATTCACATTCACAAGCTCATGGTTTGGGTGTAATTGGGCAATATGTCATTCTTATCAGACACCAATTTTTGTGAACCACATTTCTCTTATTTATTTCATCCTTCCACTGTATGACCGATCATAACAAACATTTGGGTAAGAAAGAGGCAACAAGCTGTTGTGACGGCCTGCAGTAAGTGTATCTCTGCTTTTAGTATATCACACAAAACTTGAACTGTGAACAGTCACAAAGCAGCATAAGCAATGACGATACATGCATAGCGATTTCTGAAATGAGTGGAAAAAAACCTTATTTACTCTGTACATCATAGTTTCATCAAGAACTTGTTTGCTGTATGTTTTGATTAATTTTTGTGTTAAAATCAGATGTATGTTCAGAAATATTATTTTCACTGAACATTTTTGCTGCCTGTAGAAATGTGCTGCTAGCTTCTTGTGTCTGTTAGGAGTACCTTGATTCAGGTTTCATGGTCCCCTTTGCCTCTTCACTGGCACAGACTGTTCTTGGAATCAAACACCCCCAAAGTAATTGAGGAATGTTAGCTTGGGGGTGAATAAATATCATTTGAGGGAAATTGCTTAGGGCTGAACATATCTTTTCAGCTCAGGATGAATGTACATTACTGTGTCATATTATCTTTCTTCATTGTTTACTAATAACAGGTACTTTACTTGCCTTGGGCCAATTGGTAAATATATGCCCGTCATGCTGAATATAAAATTTTTCATGTGACTCTTGTTACATCTCGTTATACAAATTTTAAAACTTCTTCCCCATCCACCGACTCTGAGAGGGAATCACATATCTACCTGACAATTCCATCAAGCTCTTGGCTAGGTCAACAAATATTAATAAAAGGACATGATCAAAATGTACTGAAGAAGTGCAGTTTCATTGTGGTGCAATACTTCCTGAGATATCAGTTTCATAACAAAAGCTTGCATAAACCATTTAAATGTCCAAACTTAAATTCTGCCTACCTGTGCTTTATATTGGCAACTTAAATCTGTCCTCAAGAGATTCATTCACAAAATCAATCCAGTACATCAAAAATAATTTGGAATTGTTCTTTAATTAGCTCAGATGTGTGATTTTTAAGTATGGAATGTCTGAATATAGCTGAAATGTAACTGTGTCAAAGAATCCCCCCCCAATTGTGATGATTAAGAATAATGTGTTTTGAAGATGTCTTTCTTACTTATTATGACACTATTTTTCCTTTCAAATGCATAATTCATAGTAGAAATATATGAATTATATGACACTTTCCAGGCTGCACTAGAAACAGTATGGGAAAATACACAATATAAATACATACTAGCTGATCAACATTGATACCAGCTATCAGATTAAATGTATGGGGTCATGTCATGACTATGACTCTACTCTATAAATCTGATATTTTTGGCAAATAGCAGACACCTTATTAGCCCATCAGTAATTATGTTGGTTGAGGTCATGATAGTATCAGACCCAGACAGTTGCTAAAATACTACTATCCTACCAAACTGTGAGTTAGAAAGCGTGTGAATAAACACACTGTAAGGAATATAGAGTAAGCAAACCAACAACTATTAACACTATAATAGACACTATTGCCATACGCGTTTCGACCTCAAGGGGTCATCATCAGTGGCATCAGGGAAATTAATACATTTAGTCAAATGGTTCAAACGGGAATCAGAATTAAAAATACTAGATGCTGTTATTCACAGGAGTAGAACTTGCACTTAGCTATTGATCCCACAACTATAGCTCGCCGAGACCAGCTACGGCCACCGAACAATGGGATCAATAGCTAAGTGCAAGTTCTACTCCTGTGAATAACAGCATCTAGTATTTTTAATTCTGATTCCCGTTTGAACCATTTGACTAAATGTATTAATTTCCCTGATGCCACTGATGATGCCCCTTGAGGTCGAAACGCGTATGGCAATAGTGTCTTATTATAGTGTTATTAGTTGTTGGTTTGCTTACTCTATATTCTAATACACTACATGGTATGAAAAGTTTTAAGATACTGTAAGGGTTTATATTGCTAAAAAGTGGTCATAATACAGTAATAATTTATAAACTGATTTAATGCTTTAAACTGTAATCTCAAGGTTAGGTTAGGTTTGGGGAAAATTTAAAATGACACAATGAGAATTTATAAATTTCAGAAAAATTGCTATTCTAACAGGTACTAGTAATACCCAAAAGAGGCTGAAATAATCTTCAAGTGTCTCCAAACTTATGGTTTCATATATCATAATATGGCAACAAGGTTTCTGAAAGAATGAATATGGGTAAGGCAATATTTTTTCTTTCTCTGAAATGATCATGGGATTGAAAATAAATAATTCAGTATTCTCAACACCTGTAACATTATCTGAACCAAGACGATTTTCTCTTGTTCTCGCAACTGACCATTTAGGAGCTGTATTTTGCAGTTCTGTCCACTGCTTGTGCACAAATCCAACTACATTCTGTCTAAAATTCACTACATATATGTGTGAGAATAAATACATAATTATGGCATAAGCCACTGGCCTGAGCAGATCATTTAAACATATGCATTATTTTAAGGGAGCTACATTCCCTCCCGTGACATGACAATATTGTAATCTGAATTTACCTCCAGTTACAGTTTTCTGTTTGTAGTCGAGTATGACCAATTCGCATCATGTGTACCATCAGAAAGAAAGGATGTATGTAACTAGGTGAGAGAAAACAAAAATTAGCTTTGTCACAGCAGCCTTCTGGAATTGGGTATCTTCTTCTTTGGCGCTACAGCCCAATGTGAGTCTTGGCCTCCTCAACGACTCTCCGCCATCTGTTTCTGTCTCGCACCACCATCCTCCAATTTCTGCATCCCAACACACTTGCGTTCTCCTCCACTCCATCAACCCATCTGAGCTTTGGGCGGCCCCTCGTTCTTTGTCCTCCAGGATTGCTGTCAATGATTTTCTTTGGTGGGTAACTGTCTTCCATCCTAGCAACATGCCCTGCCCACCTTAGTCTAGCAGATCTAATAATACTCATGACGATAGGTTCCTTGTAGATTAAATAAAATTCTGCATTGTATCTCCTTTGCCATTGACCGTTTTCACTCACTGGCCCAATTATTCTTCATAGGACCTTTCTTTCAAAACCATCAATGATATGGATATCATTTTTTGTTACGGTCCATGTCTCATATGCATATAAGACAGGCTTTATCAGTGGAATTGGGTATACTGAACTGAAAAAGTTCATGGGATGTCACGTGATGGGTGAGCCACTCAGATTCTGGTACCTTTACAAACTGATAACTACAAATAGCTTCAGAAGCAAAACTGCAAATATAGTTGGTATAATAAGCCACACAAATTTGCAGCTGGTTGTAAAGAACTTAGCATGTTGAAGGTGCCAGTAAAAAGCCCTCATTTTATGCAACACTTTTCAAATGAAGGAAACTGATGGTCCTGATAATTTGGTTGCTATAATAAAATTGGCTGTACTCATTCTATTGAGGTTATAATGTAATTGTAATACATAAAACAAATGTATGCACTCTGATAACACTTGTTTACTTAACAGGTACAATTCAATGATCTTTCTTGCACTGTAAATTTCCATTTCTTGTAACAGGGTATGAGGATCATAGAAGTTACCTTTGCTGCACAGAATGTAGCATTTCAATGGTACTTGTGTCCATACTCTGTTGTAACTGAGGAATATTGTAGAATCCTAACATTGTTCCTGCAGGTAATGGAGCTGCCGCGTATGGGGGCACAGGGGCTGGGTTATAAAACTGCACTCCACGATCACCACGGTTCACTAGATGTTCATCATGTCCTGTGTTTGAGCTCTGATTTACATAGATATTGTGGGTTGCCATAGTGGCAGACACAACAGAGGGAAGAGTACTGTTACTTGCTGCTGCTGCTGCTGCTTCAGCTGCGGCTGCGGCTGCTGCCACCGCAATTTTGTTAGGATCTGGTTGGTGACTTGTGTTTATACCATGCCGACGTTTCATATGCTTATTGTAGTTGGGCCAATTGGTGAAGTGATGCTGACATTCCAAACAAGAGTATGGTCTTTCACCTGTGTGTTGACGGCGATGTGTCTGTAATAACACAACAAATTTTGTCTGTCATTAAAACACATTCATGGATAACATGCAACATTGACTTTACTGGAAGTAATCAACCAAAATTTAATTTAGTTTCTACTTAAACATGTCTTAACCCTTACAAACATGATGCCTCTACAGGCTATCTGCTGTACCAATTTCAAATATTCACTTTCAGCCTGCTAATTGTCCTTTATGTTAACCTCTGACACATATCATGTTTTTATTTTAGCAACAGATTCAAGATCAAATGACAGTATACTTTCCCCTGCAAAATCAGAATTCCACCACAAATGCTTTTGTAACACCTGAAATTAAGATAGCATTTATAAAAAAAAAAACTCTGAAAGACCATATGAACTTGTGTACATTTATTGTTAGCTGGGTATCTGGGAAGACAATATCGTGGATGGCAAGTTAAGACTTTGCACCTTCCAGTTTATTTGGCCTTCAGAATCCTATTGTAAACTATTGTACTTGTTTTATAATACTCCTATTTTTGTTCATGACTGCATCTTGTACCTGTTTCAGTTACTCCCAACTTGTCAAATCTAACATAGCATATACAGATTTCAGGTAGTCATAATATTATATTTTAAATCCTATACAAGAATGAACTTTACAAAGGTTTTATGTTTTTTAAAGACTTACATTTATTCAAAATTTCAGGACTCTACATTAAATGGTGCTACTTTCCTTCTGACCTCACATCAAACAGTTATTAATGGTTCAGATTTAAAAAGTACAAGTGTGATGTTCTTAATGAATTTCATTACAATTCAACATACTATTCAAATATTTTTATAAATCTTCAGAACCCCAAAACCACATGAACTTACCGTAAGTATACCCTTGAAGCGGAAACTTTTACCACAATATTCACAAGTAAAAGGCATTGCACCAGTATGGATACGATGATGCTCCCTCAATGTCCCTCGTTCACGGAACTGACGGCCACACACATCACACTGATGTGGTTTCGCACCTGTATGTACTGTTTGGTGTTTCCGCAACTGAAGTGGAGTCTTAAACCTGGATTCAAAATTATAACTCACAAAACAAAAGCCAACTGGTGAAACCTGCCCAGCATATATTTAAACTGATTTTATGACAAAAGAGTAAATAATTTCAAATTTGTCTCAAAATCTGTAATAATGAGAATGTAAGAAAGCAATTTCTAACAGACTTTCTTTTCTATGGTTTTAAGGAATAATTTAAGTTGACACAATCCATTATCTACATAGACTAATTCATTTATTACTATCTTGCAGATTCAGAAGGATGAAAAAACTTAGTACAGAAAGCACAAAGTCAAATTTTAAAAGCTGGGAAATACATGCTTCATATACCATGCACAACCAACTTAAGGTGTTAGAGGAATTGTTATACTCACCCCTTATTACATACAGGACAGGAATGGGGTTTGTCTGATGAATGTGTGAGCAGGTGGGCATCCAGATTACCCTTTTGGATAAAACTCTTGCCACACTGGTCGCATGTGAAATTACGAATCCCTGTGTGGATTCGTTTGTGTGTAACTAAGTTTGGTTTTGTTGAAAACCTATAGAAACAGCATACCATCAGCAAGCTTATCATTTATTTATTAATCACTAACAGAAGTCCTGTCAATAAAACCAATCAACTGCTGACACATTAAACTGCATGAGCCATAAATTATATTTTCTTTCTGTTTTGTTAAATATAAAATGTTTCAAATACAAGTTGTGTATATTATAATTAGATGTGTGGACTATTTCTTGTGCACTGCTAGCTTTTGAGAGTTTTGGTAACTTCAATTTGGGGTTAATGTTCATTATGAATAACTGTGTTGACTTGGGCCAAAATTAAATTCTGTAGATAAGCATGAATATGGATGGAACACATGGATGCAGGGGTAGGCTCAATCTCATTATGCTATTCATTTCTCCATTTAATGCAAAACTTTTTTCTTCACCCAAGACATTTTCACTTTATGTAGGTCATCTGCCAACCAAGCCTCACCATATATTCTGACATACCACAACTACTACTCAGTTTATTTTCATGTTCTTCCTTAGGTGCAACATCTTTCCTAACCTATTGCTCCCATTGTCACCCTCTTGGCCTTTTACTTTTATATTCAAAACCTCCTTTGAGATTCTATATTCAAGCATTTATCCTTAAAACATGTCCAAACCATCTTCCTGTTGTCAATTTGTCATCCAAGATATTTATCCCTCCTAAAGCCTGACCCCAAATTCACATCATACGAGGGGGGCAACATTCAAATGCAAGAAAACTTGTCAGTGCAAAGCTCAGAAGGGACCCAGTCCCTAGCACATCCAAGGATGCGAAGGTCTGACAAGAACCCTGGAAATGACAGCTAACAGGCTATGGCAAATCTATGACAGGACAAGGAAGTTAATAGTGGATTTTATTTAAACTTGCTTTCAAGAAATAACCAGCTCAAAACTACACCTCGCACATGACTGCTACAGAGTATACAGTCCTTTGTTGATCACTGCACCTTTTGCTTGAATGCCTAAACGAAATATTTCATAACTGTACTCACCGCTTATCACACTGGTCACAGGGATATCTATTTTTCACTTCTTCAGGTTGATGGGACCGGTTGTGAACATAGAGTGCACTCTGTTGGCGAAAGGTCTTGCCACATTCTGAACAGACAAATGGACGTGCATCTGAATGCGTGGCACGATGTGACTCAAGAACTTTCTTGTTTGAAAAACATTTTCCACATTCTTCACAGCTGTAATTATACAATTATCACTGATTTTCAAAGCCTTTATTATTCCAAAGGCAAGCATGAAAGCATAAAGCTTATGTTTACACCCAATATAAATATGGGATTGCCATTATACACAAAAACCATGCAAAGTAAAAGATAAAAAGTTTCACTCCATGAAAGTGTTATATGGGATGTAAGCACTATGTGGAGATATTTGGTGCTCTGATGCTGGATAAAGAGATGCTAGTATGCAACAAACAGGAAGATGGGTGGGCCACAGAGCTGATATGGACATGTCAGGAATCTAATCTCAGCCACCCAGCCCATAACCAGACAATTTGCTGACCTGGTCCATGGTAAAAAGTATATGTGAAAGTGAATGTCACTTAACTAAGGAACAGTGCACAGAAACAATATTGCGACATGCAAGATACAGACAACTAGTGACTGATGCTACGCAGAAATTAAAAACTGATTTTCATGACTATCTGCATTCAGTCCACAAATTATTCATGAATGGTTCATGCAATTTTCAAGACATTCTTATACATCTTTACACAAATGGCATTGCTTCAAGTTTTAGTAGCTTAAAAGAACATACCAGAATTTCATATGGTTGCGATGCCGCCGTACATGACTAACAAAACCATAGTACTTAATGTAAACCTTGGAGCACTGAGCACACATAAACCGAGGAGCTTGATTGTGATCTGTCTGGTGATGTGTACGCAGTGCTTGCATACTTGGTAATTCCTGTAATACAGATCAGGTTTCTTTAGTAAAATGTTGTTTCCTTAAATTTGAAGTTCAGTAACATTGTCACTTAACACTTTACAATGAAGCTGTCATGGTGATTTGACGTCAGTTGTTCAAGATGGACAGCATGTAAGCAACTACACAGGATGGTATTGGAAATTCATTAAGCTGTAAAATTACCAATATCATATTTCTTATCAGGAAGTTGGCAACCAATAAGAAATGCTGTAATGATCTGATAGTTTCTTCGACGGTAGTCTCATAATTTTGTTTAAGGGTTTGATGGTTGGGTCACAGATGTTGTTATTAGCAGGTTTTTGTACTACATTTCAATTCTGAATTTATTCCTCATCAGTGTTTCTGGATTGCTTATTTGGGTTTTGTTCCATGTATTTATTTTCTACTTCCATTTATTTTAATTTTAGGTCTTTTAATGCATTTCTACTATTTAATTGTAATTTTCCCTACTATCTCCTGTTGACAAAACCTGATTTCAGGAGGTTATATAGATGAAGTTATACTGACTTAAGTTGTCCAACGATTAAGGTTAGATCTTTCTATCAGATCCAACTGAGTAGGTGCCCCTCCTCCCCTTTTAACCTGAGGATGGAAGCAGATCCAGCTTCTGAAATGTAGTGGTCTTTTTTAAAACAAAGACAATGGACATAGTCCAAGAATTAGTGATCCCAACAAAACTTTACATTTATTATAGGTATAAGTATTTTATATATATTACTTATTCATATTCTTCTATAGAAAGTTAATTTATTTCTAATATCTGAAGCATCAGTTTGGTATTTCTTGATAGAAGTTACAAAGATAAATTATCAATAAACAATTCCAAATTTCTGCAGTCAGTGAATACTCTCAGTGATTAAAAATTTTACAACTGTAGTTTGAGTATATTTTGGTTTGAGTTTTATACATAAATAATACTTTTAAAAGTACAGGTAAACCTCGATTTACGCCACAGATACGTTCCTGGACGAACCGGCGTAAATTGAAACTCTTTTTATAATGTAAATCAATGGGAAGTCAATTACATGCCTTCCCGGCACCCAAACATTGACGACTTAAATTCCTCAAAAACTGACTTTGCCTTATCTGTGATAGCAATTTCAGTCAAGGGAATGTTTTTTCGATTCATGTCATCCACCCATAGCAACAGTAATTTCTCCATTCTTTCTAAAAGTTTAATTCTGCTATAACTCACTTGCGTTGCACTTACTCTCGTAACCTGTTGCATTCACTGTTTGGTAGTCACAGTGGAAGGAGGCAACTTCATACTTCTGCACACATTACGATGGGTATCACCACCTTCTCAAATGGGCGAAGTAATGGACCAATGGATGAATGACAAGGACACCCAATGTGATGATACCAGAGGTCAAGTGATCTTAGCTTACACAAGGTAAGATAACTAGTCCTCTGCAGTACTCTTGATTTTCTACTGACAGCCAACACTTTATGTCTTTTCATATTTTGCATATACAGTTCAAATTAACTTTTAGGAGACCTGACTGAAGCATTCTTGGTAACAGTAGGGGCAGTAATTCAAAACTTCAATCTTAAAAGTAAATTCAGTACTCAACACATTTCACATATTATTAACATTCCAGTTTTAAAGCTAAAAATCTATGGTACAGACTTAAAGACTATGAAGACATTTAAGTTTGCCACTACAAGCTGAAATATAGATTGTTCATGGGGGGGGGAGAAGAAACTACGATGGTAGGTAAGCTAAGAAAAATGTAAGGGGGCTTTAAACTGCATCCTGCTCCTACATATGAAGCAATCTTTTTATTGTGATCACTAAGGGGCATTTATAAGAATTATTGTTTGTTACATTGTCTTGTGATTGCTAATAAACTGCAAAAAAAGTTACCTGAGAACAATCAGTACACATCCACGGATATTTTTCCCACCCATCCCGACGTTTCCTAGGGGATGATGGATCATCCAGTTGCTGTTCTTGTTCTTTGTTTTCTTCCTCTTCCTGTGCATGTTCTTCTTCCTGTTGGTGGTCCAGTTCTTCCAATTCCAGCTTAACTTCGTGCTCCTCTGTTTCCTGTTGCTCCTGCTCCTGTTTCAGTTGCTGTTGCCGCTTAGAATCTGACTGAGCAGCTTTTGACCTACCCCTGCGTGTCTTCCTGCCAGTTGTAGGACGCCCCGTTCTCTGCCTTTCTTTCTCTTTTATATACTGCTAAAAATAAATAATTTGAACATAAGCACTTCTAATGGATGCTGTCTGTAAGACCTTCTGTAGTAAAATTTTAACTGTCATATTTTGCTATGATTCAAAGTTACCAATTTAATAAACTGCATTTTAGAGTTTTTGAGAACAACCAACTTGAATCACATTCAGAGCTGCTAAGTTTTAAAAGTATTAGATTTGCAGCTACTGCAACTAAGTTCTAAATTCTGAAATTCATACTTTAGGACATAAATGGTATTTCCTAATGTCCCTCCTACTACAATAACAGTTACCTTCACATGGTACACCCATTTTCACAGAAAGCACTGGCAATCTATCATGGTAGCATAATTAATATTATTCCCATTCTTTACTTCATTCATCTGTCCTAGGAATATAAGAATTTGTTTGAATGGTCTACATTTCATGAAAACAAACCACAGTATATCATTCTACAATTGTGGGATGACCAGTGTAATGTATTACATTACAGATATGTTTCATTAGCCAGCTGATGTAAAATGATTGTCTGATGTTTGTGGAAGGATATAAAGGGTAGAATGCATCTCTGAAAGTATTGCCTACCTTAATGCCAACTTAACCTTGACACATGGCGGCCTTAGAAACTGGACCATAATTAGGTTACTTTAGTTCTTTACGTTTGTTTTATTAGTTTATCTTAGGAGTTGATCACCTACAACCACGGCAAATGAGTAAACTTTAAACCTACCCATCAATCAAATCAAATTTGTGTCTGCAGAATTACTATCATTATTTTAACTCAAGTCTCAAATACTGTCATTTGACTGAGTAAGCAAACCAACTGAAGGAGAATCTCCATTCACATAATAGAAACTCTTCCTTTTTGGTTCCCACATTTGATTTTATAAAACAGTTTGTACAACACTTCCACACAACTGTATTACTTTCTTCCCTGTTCACCTGTTCCTGCCGCACTTGTTGCTGTTCCTCCAGTAATTGCTGAGCACACC